AAAATGATTCTTAACAAAATAGTTTTTACTTAAAGTCAGCACTCAACATGCAAGTATTATCAGTGGTCTTCTAAACCTTGTTATAACTAAGATGGTGGGATGTAATTAGCTCTGGAAAAAAGAATACACAGCTCATCAGAGCTTTTAGCAAGTTGTCAAAGCAGGGGTTTGGAACAATAGTAGGTATGTTTTTGAAAAATTTTATATGAACACATTTAGCCAAATATTTGGATTTCCCATGACTTCTTATCTAAAACATGTGAAATTAACTCCTGATTAGAACAGTTACTTTATAATTTATCTGTTTTACAAATACAGATGTTCATATATTGCGATTATCTCTAAAGTGAGTTATTAGTAGCTACAGGGTGGAAATACAGTGAAAGAAGCAGTTACAGAGTAACAGCTGCTGCTGGAGGTTCTTCTTTTCCCTTGTAATATGGAGGGAGGGTAGGCTCTTGGGGTGTGTATATTTCTCAGAACTAATTGGTTCTGTTGTCATTGTTTTTACATTTAAGTGTACTGAGATAAGTAAGTCCTGGCAATTAAAACATCCTGCTTTTTCACTGAATACCACATTTTCTCTACTAAGCCAGAATCTCAAAGTATGTCACCATTCAAGAAAAACAGTCAATGCATTTAAGGCTATTACTTGTTGCTTTGATTTGGCAACAAAAGTCTGTCCTGATAGTGTTTTCTTTTTTTTTTCTTTTTTTTTTTTTTAAGACTATTTATTTATTTAGAGAGCATGTGTGAGGAAGGGTAGGGGTAGAGGGAGAGTGGGAGAGAATCTCAAGCAGATTCCACGTGAAGCACCAAACCCAACACGGGGCTCGATCTCATGACCCCAGTATCATGACCTGAGCCAAAACCAAGAGTCGGATGCTCAACCGACTGAGCCACCCATGTGCGCCTGTTTTTGTTTCAAATTTAACTTTAGAACATCATGAACCTGCTAAAACTTTATTTTTTATTTTTTCCTAATTTTTTAGTTTACCCCCACCAAGGATTCTGCTTGCATATTATTGGAGCAGGTGTCACACTTTTTCTGTAAAGTAATTCTGTATATAATAAATATTTTAGGCTTTGCAGGCCATACATTCTCTGTCACAACTACTCAACTCTGCCGGGTGACATAGTAGAACTATAGATAGTATATAAATGGATGAATTTCACTGTGTTTCCTGAAACTATTTTAAAAAACAGGCAGCAGGTGAGAACTAGCCCATGAGCCAATTTGCCAACCACCAGTTTTGAGAATCAAGTACTTCTACAAGACTTGTTTGTGAAAATGACAGTTCTCCGTTAGTGCTTCCTGACTTTCAACTTCAGTTGGTTTTCAGGGGATTTACCCCACACATCAGTAGGTCAGTATTAGTATATTTTAAGTATTAACTATTGACTTCCTATGGTGGTTTATAAGAATTTATATCTCTTTCCTCTGCCAGCCCCTCTGTCATATATGTACCTTCCTTATCACTTCCATCCTCCTAAGGCACTTGGGTCAAATTTAGATTAGATGAATATTTAGTGATTCTGTTATTTTGACTACAAGTCATGTAGTGAGTGATTATTATTTTTCATTTTCTGCACAATATTTCTATTTCCTATAGTTTATTTTTCCTTGTTAGTTTCCTGTCCTCTCTCTAGTGTAATACCAAACTGCTCTTCGGTTACTGAAGTCTCCTCTCAAGATGTTTAATACACCAGGGATGCGTGGGTGGCTCATTTGGTGGCGTCTGACTTCAGCTCAGGTCATGATCTCAGGGTCCTGGGATCAAGTCCCATGTTGAGCTCCGAGCTCAGGGAAGAGTCTGCTTCTCCCTCTCCTTTTGCCCCTCCCCCAACTCATGCGCCCGTGCTCTCTCTCAAAAATAAATAAAATGTAAAAAAAAAAAAAAGATGTTTAATACACCAGGTATTCTAATTCTCCTTGTCACTATCCTGAGAATGCCTTCTGCCTGTATCTCCGTTTCTTCTATCCCATACATTCCTCATTCTTTGTATCCTTCTTCATTTTAGTGGAGCTAGTACCTTCTAAGGAGAAAGGTTCAAGAGATGTAAGCTTTTTTAAACCTTGCATGTCGGGAAATATTTTTATTCTTATCTAATTTAGGAATCATTTTCCTACAAGATTTTTATTCAGTTGTCTTTGACCTCCAATTTTGATTCCTGATTTTTTTTTTTTTTTTTTTTGGTAACTTTGTTCTTTCTCTGGAAGCATGTAGACTCTAGTATTCTGATGTGACTCTCAATTTTCATATATCATGTTGGCCTTTTCAGCATGAAAAATCATGTCCCTCATCAGGGGGTTCTGTGTTAGAGCTTTTAATATACACCCTATAAAACTAAATCATACATATTTGACCTATACGTTCAGCAGCCCATCTTGTTGCTGAGTGACTCAGGATACCAGCACTAGGTTTTCTTCCCAGATTCTCTCATATATCTCCAAGGGAGATAAAATGGGCAACAAGTCCTGTATTGGACTTCAGGAAACCCAACAAGATATAGAAACAATGGGTTATCTTAACACTGTACTTAATGAATAGTCTCCAAATGGACTTCATCTCTCTTTTTTTTTTTAATTTGACAGCGAGAGAGGGAACACAGGCAGGAGTGGGAGAGGGAAAAGCAGGCTTCCCGCTGAGCAGGGAGCCCAACGCAGGGCTCCATCCCAGGACCCTAGGATCATGACCTGAGCCAAAGGCAGACGCTTAACGACTGAGCCACCCAGGCGCCCCTGGACTACATTTCTTGGACAAGACTGAACAGAGGCAATATCTAAGAGCCTAAGAGAATCAAAGTTTATAGTTACCCTAAGGCTGCTGTAGCAAAGTACCACAAACTAGATGTTTTAAAACAACAAAATTGTATCCTGTCATGTTTCAGGAGGCTAGAAATCTGAAATCAAGGTGACAGTAGTGCTAAGATCCTCGGAAGTTTCTAGGGAAGAACCCTTCCTTGCTTCTTCCAGCTTGTGTGAACCATGGCCTGTGGCCTTCCTTGGCCTATGGCAGGATAACTGTAATCTCTTCCTCAGCCTTCTTCCCTCTCTCTGTGCCTCTATCCAGATGTCTCCCTTATGAGGACATCGGTCATATTAGATTGAGGACCACCCTAATCCAGCATATTCACCTTTTAATTATATCTGCAAAGACCCTGATTCCAAATAAGGTCACATTCTGAGTTTGTAGTTGGACATAAATTTTAGGAAGATGTTCTTCAATTCAATACACAAGGTAATTAGACCACAGATATAATTTAGAGAAGGGTAACATTGCCTAGATAAGTCCTCCAAACACAGTAAGCTTCAGAGAGCCATCATCTTGCATTTACTAATGTCCTCATGTTTGTTCTACTAGGGGGGGGAAAATCTTTATAGTGGGCTATTAACAGTGAAAGAAAATTTAAAATAAAGACATTTGAAGCTCACAGCTCTATTTTGACACACAATGAAATGTATCCATTTGCCTTATGGGATGTTTATTGAATGAAGACTCCTTCCAGTTACTGTTCCAAGCCCTAGGTCTATAGCAATGAGGAAAACAGAGCCCCTGCCTCACAGATGGGAAAATATCTACGCTGGCATGCAATGTTAAGTGATAAGTAGTAAATAAAGAGTTATGGGAAGTGTTGTTCAGATAACATTTGAGCAGATATGTGAATAATAAGAGATGGTCAGTCATGCATACATTTGGGAGTACAGTATTCCAGGGAAAGCAGAGCTTACAAAGGAATAGCCTAAGCATCAGAAGGCAGTAAAGCTTAAAGAACAGATAGTGGCATAGCGTGATCTGGCTACCTTTTTAAAAACTCACTGTGATGCTCTGTGGAAACTCAGGGGTGGGGGAGCAAGTGACCAGGTTTGAGTGTATTACGTTGGTGCTGCAGGTGAGACATGTTGGTGACTCGGTCAAAAGTACTAAGAGTAGGAGTGGTGAGAAGTGAATGGTCCTGAATATATCTTGCATTTAGAACCACAAGATTTGCTAAAGGACTAATTGTGAGCTGTGAAGGAAGGAGAAATGTGATAGAAGAATTCTTAAAGTTTTAGTCCTGAGCAACCAACAAAAGTGGAATTATGTATAATAAGACAGGAAAGACTGAAGAAGTAAGTTTGAGAAGGATATCAAAGAATTCTCTGGGTGCCTGGTGGGTGGCTCAGTAGGTAAAGCATCCAACTCTTGATCTCAGCTCAGGTCTCAATCTCTGGGGCATGAGTTCAAGCCCCATGTTGGGCTCCACACCGGGGATGGAGCCTACTTAAAAAAAAAGAAAGAATTCTCTTGGGTTCATATATGAGTCTTGAGCTCAAGTTAGAGTAGCAGTTAGAAATTTGGATGTTGTCAGCGCATAGAAGATATTTAAGGAAATTTTCCCAAATCATGAATTTTCTAAATTCGTAAGTATGTTAAATATATAATCAGTTCCAACTCAGTCATCATCAAATATTTATGAAGTGTTGGCTCTTAGACAAGCAGTGGTAGAAGGTTCTGAAAATATAGTAGAGATACTAGACTTTGAAAATACAAATATTTAGCATCAGATAGTTTTTACATCTCTATTAACTGGAATTTCAAACATTACAGTAGTTATAAATTGTATCACCCAGCTTAGCACTAACATGTTATTTGATTCATATTAATTCAGTCTTTAAGAAGATCTAGATCTTTTAACCTCTTTGAAAGCAGAAGCTATATTGCATTTTTTTAATAACACACAGGATGCCTACCAGAGTTCTGGAAAGATATTAAGTCCCCAAAGGGATTTGTTAGTTGATTACATAATAATTTTATTTGTTTCGGGGGCCGTTGTATTTTGTCATCTTGAGTTTTATTTTTCTTTATTATAGATTATCCAGGTGACTTATCTAGAGAATACTAACAAATTCCTGTTTCCTAACTCTCATTTTTAAAAATTATGATACATTTTCTTTTATTCACTTCTTAATAGTACTATATTGTTCCTATTCCTGTGTTTGTTGTTTCAATTTGCAGCCTGATTCTACTGCAACTGAAAGAGCAGTTGCCAGACTAGCGATGCATCCTCTTCTGAAGAAAAAAACAGATGTGCTGAAAGGTATGTATTAAATACTTTTAAGCCATGTACTTAAATGCACTTATGTATAAGATTTTGAATAAATGGCTATTCATTTATTTCTTTGGGTTTTTTTTGTTTGTTTGTTTTTAAAGATTTTATTTATTTGAGAGAGAGAGTGAGAGAGAGCGAGCACAAGAGGGGGGAGCAGGAGAGGGAGAAGCAGACTCCCTGCTGAGCAGGTAGCCTGATGTGGGACTCGATCCCGGGACTCCAGGATCATGACCTGAGCCGAAGGCAGTCGCTTAACCAACTGAGCCACCCAGGCGCCCCAATTGTTTGTTTGTTTTGAGGACCTTTTAAAAATATCTCCTTCAAATATTTTTAAATGTGGGAAGGTACCTGAAAATTTGGAAGTTATCTGATGTCTAATTAAATCTGTATTTTTTCCTAAATTCTAATATATGAATACACTTATGTTTATATATAATATATTCATGGTAATACTGAATACAATCAATTTGCTAAATATTGGTGTAATTCATAGTATTACTTTTGATGTTGCCACTTAGTCACATAATTTTTATTTATGTGTGTATTATAAACTGTGCTTAAAGAATTAAATGTTACTATCACAGATTAGAATATATTCATTTTTATGTCTGAAAACACAGTTTATAGTGCACCACAATCATAGCAATACATTATTGCAAAAGAAATTAAAGTTGCCATTTTATTTTATTTGTATTCAGTGATGTTTTTGCTATTTTTCATAGCTCCAGGGCCTGAAAGGATGGTTAATTTTAAGAGTTTTAAATTGAATACCTCTGACCATTTCTTCCAAGTCTGGTTTTTAAAGTCAGTGAAGTTCTTTTGTGACCAGTGATATATACTTAACATAATTGTGGTTGTTCTCTTAAGTGTTTCCAAATAATTTAAGAAATACTGTACTGAAGTGGTGATGTTTTATATATTTGTTTTAATGATGAAACAGATCCTGTGCTTTTCTGTTGTAGCTGCTGTCAAAGCCTTTAAAGATGCAAGACAAAATGTTGAAGTTAAATCATCAGAGAGTGCTTCAGAAGAAAATCATTCCAAGGACACTTTGTGTTCAAATGATGATGCCAGTAAGTTACAGCATGAAGGAACTATCATCAGTGAACAAAAAGAGAAAGAAGCCAAAATATTGGCAAAGAAACCAGTAAATTCAAAAGAAAAAAGAACCAAGGTGGAACATGGACCCAATGCTGTAGACATTCCAAATTCTCCATCAAAGCCTTCTGAAAGGGCTGGTGGTGTTTCTTCTGAGCCCCAGAAGACACCTGCTGACCCAAAAATGAAAACCTTAAGTAAAACCAAAAAAGGGAAAGAGTCCAGTAGCTCCCTTGATGGTAACAGTGATGGAGAAGAATTACAAGAAGAAAAGGAGTATTTTGATGATAGCACAGAGGAAAGGTTTTACAAACAGTCCTCCATGTCTGAGGATAGTGACAGTGGTGATGACTTCTTCATTGGGAAAGTCAGACGGACACGAAAGAAGGAAAGTACTTGCCATTCTTCAATTAAGGAACAAATGCCCCCCCAAAAAGTGTTACCTGAGGAAGATCTACTTGAAACCCATCAGAGTATAAGAAGTGACATAAACAAGCCAAGTACAGAATCAAGGAAGTTTGAGTCAGTGTTTTTCCATTCTTTATCTGGATCTAAAAGCTCTAGAAGGTAAGAGTACTTTTTTCTATCCTGAAGTAATTATTAGTTCTTAATTTTTTTGAAGATATGAAATATCTGCACATCCTAGCAATGACAGAAGAGAATCTCTCCCATATGTACATGTGGTTTATACAGCACATCCTGTGTTTAGACTTGGCCCTTTCGAACTTTATACTCAGATAATATATGCAAATATACATACAGCAGTGCCGCATCAATCCTGGAGCCAAATAATTTGTCTAGCTAATTTCAGTTTATCCCTTCGATTGTCAAAGTTTCCAGACTTTGAGTTTGCTTTTCGTGAAAACCTTTTGAAAATGTCTCATATCTTACTCTTTAAACAGAACTTTCTGAAAAGAATGGTGGTGTTTTTTTTTCTTTTCTTGATAACTGAGGGCCATTATTGTAAACATCAGTCATTTTCTTGTGCATTGCTATTTCAGTATATACAGCTGTTTGCTCTAACTCCGAGTTCCTCCAGACTGCTTTATATCGGATAATATTGCTGTCTCTGTCCCTGCTGTTAACCACCACCTTTCACAGCTCTTCTGTTCTACATCAATAAGTTTCATTTCATTTGTAATTCTAATCTGAGAGGGAATAACTTCACATTTTAGGATAAATATCATGGTTAGCTAATTTCTTCAGTAAGAGCTACCTTCTTCAGGAAACTGTTTTCTGTTTATGTATAAGTCAGGGATAATTTTTAATAAAATAGAAACACATGAAGTAAACATTTTCCAAAGAAGTAGGAGTATGGAAAAGACACAAACCATATTTGAGACCTTGAAATTAATTAAAATATTTTTTATATCTCCCAAACTTGCTCCAGAAGGCTCCATTTTTTTTCCTCACTTGAGAATAATACACTCATGCTTTCCATCTCCCACAAAATGATTTTGTGTAATATGTGACTCATTCCCCCTGTAAGAAGACTTTTGAAATTCTTTATCTGGATAGTCCTCAAGAGTAGACACAAGTAACCAAGATAGAATATTTTATGACCAGAAGTCCATGTAGGGGGGGTGAGAGGGAAACTCCCATGTTTCTGCAGTATCACTGGAGTCTCACAGACTTTGATACAGATAAAACTAGGGGTTTTATCATTTTTTTATTGATTGCTGGTGGGATGAGGGAGTACAATAGTCCTTTGAGTGAGTTTTATCCCTAGTTTTTTTTTACGTTATCTTCTTAAGGTCAGTTATCTTTTTTAAGTCCTAATGGTCTTTTTCTTCTTTTAGAAATTACAGAGAACAGGCTCCAAAAAGCAGAACCCCAGGTATGTATTAATGGCTGCCTGACCTTGACATGAAATTGACTAATGCTCTGCCAGAGTAGAAGAATGAAAAGTTCTGGTTACTTAATAGCCTGAATGAAATACGTAGGTACCCACAGGAAGGGGACAAGAAGATCTTTCAATTATCAGTATAATTTTTAAATTTTAATTGTTTGTTTGTTTGTTTTTACCTATCTGCTACCAGTATGAAAGATATAAGCAAAACTTACCAGGAAATACTGGGTCTAGTTGATTTATCTTGAACTGAATAAACTAGTACATTCTTTAAATTTTAAGATATAACTTTAAGTTATATCTTAGTCGGCATCATGCCATTAAGCATTCAGTAACTAGTATGTCACTTTCTAGGTTCAGAGTAAAATCAAAGTATTTTCACATTAATTCATAACAAATCAAGTTACATATATTTGGGTGGGCGGACTTCTGTACATAATTCCAAATTCTCACTGGCTTAAAATAATAAAAATACATTTTTCATGCACATCACAGTCCACTGTGAGGTGGCAGAGGGGCTGTGTTTCATATAGTAATTCAGGAATCAGGCACCTTTCATCTTTTGGTTCCTTCCTCCTGCAGTTTCCAGATACTCCTCCAGAAGGGAAGAGTACATGGACGGTTTTGCAGGAAGTTTTCATGAGCCAGGTCTGAAAGTGGCAGGAATCAGTTCTGCTCACATTTCATTAGCCAGAATTCAATTATATGACACCATCTAGCCACAGGGGAGCTAAGAAATGCAATCTAACTGTGTGGTTAAGAGGAAAAAGGAAGTAGAATTTCTTAAACATGTAACTGTCTGCCAGTGACTATCCTTTCTCTCACCAGGTGCTCATTTCACTGTCCCCCACACAGAGCACACTTTATCTCCTTCCCAAAGAAGCCAGCTCAGAGTCCCACCCAGTCCCTGCATCCAAGCTCAAAGCCCAGCATCATCCACCAGTGATGCAGTCCTTTGTTTCCATCCGGTCTCATGGATGTGACTGCTCAAAATTTGATGGCCTGGTCACTGAAAGACAGACTACCTGTCCCCAGCTCATACCATATATTTAGTGGCAGGTCAGGGACAAGGTAACCATAATACAAACTCCCAGTCAATTAAGGGAAAATTGGGAGGCACATAACATGTTTATCTAGAGGAACTTCTTTATCCATTGTTCTTCATGTTTTCTGACTGTTCTGGGGAGGTCTGTGTTCCATGGCCACATCTGAAGTGGACATTTAGTATAATTTCCTTGGGAGTTGCCCCAAGTGACTGGTAAAAACACATGGTCCTGAAGACAGTTCAAAGTCTTTAATATTCAAGAGAGAGTTTTTCAGCGCAGACATAGAATTTCTTCCACAACACAGGTCTCTCAGAAATGTAGTGGATTTCTGACTTCTGGGTTTCCATTTAGTCCATCCATGAGCTAGTCACCATACCAACAATCTTCCCCTAGAGCTAGTTCTCAAACTTGCCTTCTTCATGTTTGAGGGTATTTTTTCCCACCCCCACCATCATTCAGTGTCTGCTGTGTTAAGATTCTCAGGTTTGGTTGAGAAGAACATTCTTGACTCGTAACTCTGCTCCAGGGCTGAATCTCCATAGACCTTTCCTGCTTAAAATCTTTCTCAGTCTGGGGCGCCTGGGTGGCTCAGTCGTTAAGCGTCTGCCTTCGGCTCAGGTCATGATCCCAGGGTCATGGGATCAAGCCCCGCATCGAGCTCCCTGCTCGGTGGGGAAGCCTGCTTCTCCCTCTCCCTCTACTGTTCCCCCTGCTTGTGCTCTCTCACTCTCTGTATCAAATAAATAAATAAAATCTTTAAAAAAAAAAAAAAACCTTTCTGAGTCTTACGTCTTACCGTTTGAAGTCCAGAGGCTTTTCTAAACCGTAGTTCTCAAATATCTGGACACTCTGTTCCCTTTAGTTTCTGCCTGTGAGCTAGCGAGTTCTTTCCCTGTTTTGTAGTCCATTGCCAAAGAGCCATCAGCACGCTAATTTTTTTATTCTTCCCACCCACTTACCCTGGTGCTGCAAACTCCATAGGCCCACAGCCTGCTTCCCAGGTTCTCCACTGGCCACAGTTTTACCCGCTTCCTTAGCATAAGAAGCATGCGTACTTTGCAAACTAAGGTGTCCATTTCCTTCTACCTACCACTAAACTGCGAAGCCACTGCCAAATTTGTATGCTGTAAAACATACAGCATGTATGGCTGTATCCTCCTCCCTAGTACCACTCTGGTATTTGTAGTAGACTGCCTGCTGTCACACGTAACTCCCACATCGTGCTGATTCATTTCTCATTCATTACTGTCTCTGCGCTGCTTGTACTCTTCTTCCTTCTTGTGCCTCCAGGACTTCGCTGTGCTCCCTGCAGGCAGAGAGAGGATGAAAGGATCGAGCGTGAGATGTTTATGGTCAGGCCTTTTGTTCTTATGCCATTGGCTGTAACTCAGTTACATGCCTCATTTAACTGTAGTCAGGATGGGCAATGCATCCAGCTTGTGCACCCAGCAGGAAAAGAAAACTAGGTCTGGCAGACACATGGCAATCTGCCTCACTGACCTTATATTCATAAGCAGGAGAACTGTAAACTTGAGGCACTCCCACATTTTCCCTGTGAGGAGACCCAAGTGATGAAAGGGTTTTTGTTTTTTGCTTAGCTTATATATTTATAGTGTTTAGTATATCAGTTTGTTTACAGATATCAATTTACTTTCCATAATTATATAAAGTATATATTATTTTAAATACTGCCTTATTTAAATCAATTTTTTATGTAACAGTTTTATTTAACATTTAAATTCTTGGTTCTTCATTACTAGAGCCCCAAGTGACTGGTAAAAACACATGGTCCTGAAGACAGTTCAAAGTCTTTAACATTCAAGAGAGAGTTTTTCAGCCCAGACATACGATTTCTTCCACAACACAGGTCTCTCAGAAATGTAGTGGATTTCTGACTTCTGGGTTTCCATTTAGTCCATCCATGAGCTAGTCACCATACCAACAATCTTCCCCTAGAGCTAGTTCTCAAACTTGCCTTCTTTATGTTTGAGGGTATTTTTTCCCACCCCCACCATCATTTAGTGTCTACTGTGTTAAGATTCTCGGGTTTGGTTGAGAAGAACATTCTTGACTCGTAACTCTGCTCCGGGGCTGAATCTCCATACTAGAGCCATCCTGAATATTATATTGGGTTTTAGACCACATGTGATTTGTACAGGATTCAGGACATGTTGCATTCTTTGTACGGTAGTATTTCGGAAATGTTATCCCAAGTTGTGTGCATTTGTTTGTGTAACATTATGACATTTGCTTTTTAAGAAGATCTTTAAAAGGCTTTTGACAGTGAATGATGTCTAACTCATAGTGGAGAAAGTACACATCTCTAGGACTACTTCAAAAAAAAAAAAATCTATGTTAAATTTTTGTCTCCCTTTGTTTCTCCCCTGATTCCATAAACATGCATTGATTCATGTGTCTTCTGGCTGGTGTGTCTCTCCCAAACACTACTTTATTGTTCAAAATAACATAGTTTAAAGTATAACATAAGAGGCCGTAAGGTCTAGAAACAATTTGCCACCCTCTTATCTGGTGGATAATTTTATGATTGGAAAAGAACCTTGTCTTATATTTGAGTAAATTCAGTAATTTATTTTATAATAATTTTATGTTCAGTAATAGAAGGGAGTAGAATCAATTAGTAACCCTTTAAAAATACATCTCTCCCATCAACGTTGTCAAATCCAATATCTTAATAAATACATGTGAATTTTCTGGCTACATCGGCTCCATATACAGTTACCTTAAACCAATGATATTCCTTTGAAAATATAAGATGCTCTTTTGGGATTTTTTTGGCCTTCCATATTGTCTGCATTCTTTCCTTTCTTACTGCCAATGTAAATAAGACAGCACAACATATGTTAGGAGACAAACAATTTGCATCTGTTTAAAAGATTAGGAAAAAAAATAAAAGATTAGAAAGCATGTGTCCCAGAATTGCCTGTTGATGTGTATATTTCAATTTCACACTGTTCCCTGTTGGACTTAGATTTTAAACTGTAATGTATTTTGTTTAAGTAAAACTAAATTCCTTCCTTAAATACTGATGTGAGAAAATGAAATCTCTTTCTCTTATATGCTATGTAAGTATGTGGTTATTTCTCACTATTTTTGCTTTCTCCTCCCAGGTTTTCAGCAAAATGAACCTCAGCTTAAGAATCTGTTTAATAAGAGTGCACAAAGAGGACTTCAAAGTACAAAACAGCAATCACAGCTGCCTCTTCATCCTTCGTGGGAAGCAAGCAAGAGGCGAAAAGAGCAGCAATCTAAAATTGCTGTGTTTCAGGGAAAAAAAATTACATTTGATGATTGATTAGTATAGTACCTCTTTTTGTGAACCAGCCCATTATTAAAGTTATGTTTACATAAGCCTACCACAAATCAAGTACATACTTAAATTGATTTTTAATAATATACCCACGCTGTTCCCTCTATGAAAAAATTTTGAAATAGCTGTCTCAGACTTCTAATTTGTGCTTATCACCAGGTTTAACTCTGTGTCTTGCTTTGAAAATAAATTTTGAGAGATACATTAAAATAATAATGGAAAATATTAGGAAATTATAGTTATTTAAAAGAGATCACCTTTGCTAAAAGTAATTCTTAGCAAAACTAAGATAGTAACTTTTATATGGGTATAGAGATAATACATTAACAAATAAATATTAATTTTTATTATATTTGTAATTATTTGTGATCTACTTTTTGTCTGTTTTAAAATAGATTCAAGGGCAGTTTTTCATTTCTGAATTATACCTCAGTTTTTTAGGCAACATACATGTTTAAATGTAGCACCACAACCAATAATTTGTTATATATCTCACTGCATAGAAATATTTGTTTAAATCAAGAATGTATAACATGTAGTTACTTGACCATGCACTTTTATAGAAACATTTTTTTGTGGAATTGTGGATTAGAATTCAAAAGGATAAACTCTGAAGGAGGTGTGATTGAAGAAGCATTTCCAGATAACTGAGTGCAGTGATGAGATGACTCAAAGGAACTACTCTTTATGGAGTACTATTAATTTCAAAGGAAAACGGGATTTTAAAAATCCTTTCAAATGTTTCACTTTCCACTTCTCTGGAAGAAATTAAAGGTTCTTGGTTAACTAAATAAAGATAACTAAATTCCATCTTACTGTTAATGGCAAGGAAAGCCCCCTGGTTTGCAGAAATTCATAAGCTTTGGAGAGTCATTTCTTTCATTTTCAAGAGCTTAAGAATTTAGATAACTAAAGCAATGGAATTCAAGAGATTATACAGAAAAAATTGTTTTTGCTATGTTGAAAGCAAAATTTGTTTTTTCTACTTTTGTCTTTTAAATTTTTATTTTGACATAATGTCAATTATGCAAAATTAAAATTAATTTCAATGAAATTTTAATTATGAAAAATTATTACAGGAAAAGTGAAAGAAAAATGTCTCCATGGCTCCCCAGATTTAGCCAAACTGCGAGGTTGAGAGCAGTGTCCTCCAGACTACCAAGTCTGGCCAAGACTTCTTACCCTACCACAAGGAGTTAGGGTCCAGCTACAGAGTTAGAGGGAAGAGCCCCCACAGGACCACTGTCACTTCTGACACCAGCTGCAGGTTTGGAGATGGCATTGGTTGGGGGTGGGTTCCCCAAACACCCTCAGGTTCAAAAATTTGCTAGAAAAACTCCCAGAACTTACTGAAACCTGTTTATATACACACATGAAACCTACTGAAAGTCATTGTTCATTACAGGGCAAGGGTACAAATTAAAACCTGTCAAAGGAAGAGATGCATAGAACCATGTCTATGAGGGTTCTTTTTTTTTTTTTTTTTTAAGATTTTATTTATTTGAGACAGAATGAGAGAGAGAGAGCACATGAGAGGGGGGAGGGTCAGAGGGAGAAGCAGGCTCCCTGCCGAGCAGGGAGCCCGATGCGGGACTCGATCCTGGGACTCCAGGATCATGACCTGAGCCGAAGGCAGTCGCTTAACCAACTGAGCCACCCAGGCACCCGTCTGTGAGGGTTCTAACACAAAGCTTCTGTTGTCCTCAGGACGCATTACCATCCTGGCATCAATGTGCATAGAGTATTGCCAATCTCAGAAGCTCACTGAAGCTTTGGTGTGTAGATTTTTTGTTGTGTCTGCAGTATATAAACATAAGCAGTTGATTGCCCAAATGATTGTCCCAGATGACTGATACCACATGATCCCAAATTCCCCATCCTCAGTTACATGGTTTGTCTTTTTTAGTGTAGCTAACTGCTGCCCTAAACAAACATACTTTTATCAGGTATTACATAGATGGCTCCAGGAAACCAAAGGCAAGGGCAATTCCCTTGGGCAAAGCCAAGTTCTTTACCACACAGTATCCTTCACCCAGGTTCTCCAATCGATAACACTTTATTGCACTTGCTTTATCCTTCACTCTCATCCTTCTACCCCTCCCCTCCTCTTCCTCCTCCTCTTCTTTTTTCCCCCGTCTCTCTTTGCTGTTGTTTTTGTTGTAATATTACATACGTCTTCTTATCATGTTCAGGTTTTTCCTCTACTTCCTTGAACATACGGAATATTAGTAGCTATTTTAATGATCTTGTCTGCAATGGTTCTCCATTTGGGGCAGTTTTACCTTTAGGGAACATTCGGCAATGTCCGCAGACATTTTTGTGTCACATCTAATGGATATAGGCCAGGGATGCTACTAAACATTCTACATTATATACAACAAAGAATTATCAAGTGCAAAGTGTCAACAGTGCTGAGATTGAGAAAGCCTGGCCTAGGGCTCATTTGGCTCCAGAGGCATTACCATTCTAAGCACTCTGCCTAATGCTTTTTCTACTAGCAAATCTTTCTGTTACATCTGGTGAGATGAGAACAAAAACTATACCTGGCCAAGTGTAAGTTGCTTCACAAACTCCTTTCTAGTGAATTTTTTCCCTGGCCTTGGTAGATTCCTCATACACATTGCACAGATTAGTCTTATGCCGTAGGTTTTAGGGGATCCTTCCAAAGATCTCCAGAGCACTTCTTTCTGTTCATCTCATCCTCTTTTGTATTTTGCGTCACAAATTCTAGTCACAGTAGCCTATGCAAACCCTGAATTCTGTCTCTTCAGAGAGGCCACTGAGTTATCTGGAATTCCTTCCCCCTCTGTGGTATAGTTTGGAAACTTCATGCAATGAGCTAAAGCACTCAACTGGTTTGTTTTCACTCTCAGGTATTACTATGCTGTACTGCTTTTTGTCCATTGTCTGAAAACCTAAGTCATGTATTTTATTTTTTCCATTGTTCTAGTTCTTTAATGTAGAATGGCAAATCGGATTCCTGTTACTACAGAAGTAGAAATCCATTATTTATTTTCATGTTCAAATTGTCCATAATTTGGCCAGTGGGAGCCTACTCAGTCTGTGTCTTGTGTTCTTTTCCCATCTAACAGTAAGAAAGATGGTTCCCATTATCCACAAAACCCTAGAATACAGTTTTAGAGTTGCTAACTGATGCCTCCGCAAAATAAAAGTCTACTAGCCGAAGTTCAGTATAAGTTTAGAGTTCTTTTTTCTTTTGCTTGAAGACATATGTTCTCAAAACTAAGTTTGAAAGTTGCCTGGGATGATGTCATCAAAAATGATGGAGTAAAGATGTACAGAAATTATTTTCCCCATAAAAACCACTGAGAACACTGTATTATCAGAATGAACTTTTTTAGAACTATGGAGTTAACCACAGGTTTACTACAATCCAGGGAGTATTTTTCAAGAAAAATGGATGAGTCTTGATAGAACAGTAATCTTTGTGACGTTTTAACTTTCCCTATTTGCATCTTTCACTCCTCAGATCCATGATAGTTTTGAAAACCAACAGCCAACAATCACAGTGAAAACCAGCAGCCTGGCAGCCACTAGGAGAAACAGAACAGGGTTGGAGCTTCTTCAACGATATATTCACTGAGAATTGTCATTATTTGACAAATACGGTAGTTCACTGGAAGACCCCACTTGACTGAGAACTTGCTCAGTGCGAAAGCCTTTTTCCTGATATTTTCAAAAACAATCAGAGGTAATTGTTTAACATCACAGTTGCTTGAGGCAATGAGTAACAGTTGCAAACAAATTTGTCAAAAAGCTTAAAAGGAAATCTGGAGAATTCAGTATCTCTAGGGACTTTGACGAGTTCTGACATATTTCTTGGAATTAAGCAAGTCATGTGCTTGCGTAGTGCTGTGTGTATGTTCAGGGAAGAGCTGAGAAGGCCCTAAACTGTCACTTCTAGCTGACTGGCAGGAAATGAAGGCTCAGGTGGAATTGTCAACTTCCTGGCTGTGTTGAAGGTGTGCCCCAGCACACACACAAACACACACACAGTCTCTCAGCAAAATCACAGTAGTATTCCAAGCATTTAAGGAAATCTGTCTAGTTAGTAGTATACCACTAAACTAATGAAGCAGAAACTTTAATGGCCACACTCAACAAAGAATATAGACTTCACAAGTTCAAAGAAGTCCACTAAATAACAACAAAAAACAATAACAAGCCCTAGGGAGGGGAGAGTATCTGGTTTTTAGATTTTCACCATTGTAATATATTACTTAAAATGACCAGTTTAAAATAAAACACCCTAAGACATATGCAGAAACAAAGTATACCCCATATACAGGGAAGAAGAAAAACAAACTGTCCCCAAAGAGGTCCAGACTTTGGATTTACTCAACAAAGACATTAAATAAGCTATTTTGAGAATATGTGCAAAGAACTAGTGGAAACAATGTTTAAAGAACTAAAAGAAAGTCTGATAACAATGCCTCACCATATAGAGAATATCAATAATGAAATAGAAATTATAAAGAAGAGACAAAAATAAATTTAGGAATTTAAAAGTACCATAACTGATAGGAAAAATTAAACATAAGTGGTCAACAGCAGATTGGAGCAGGTAGAAGAAAGACTTGGTGAAACTAAAGATAGATCAATTGAGATTATCCAGTTTTAGGAACAGGAGAAAAAAAAAACATGAATGATAATGAACAGAGATCCTCAAAGACTCATGGGATACCATCAAGTGTCCCAACATAGGCATAGTGAGAGTCCCATATGAACTGCACTTTCACTGGTAGCTATAGACCCTAAAAGAATTGAAAACGTTCCAACAGAAACTTGATCATGAATGTTCATAGTAGCATATGCATAATAGCCGAAAAGAAGAAACAAGCCAAATATCCATCAGTTGGTGACTGGATAAGCAAAAATGGTATATACATACAATGGAATATTATTCAGCCCTAAAAAGGCATGAAGTACTGATATGTACTATGACATGAATGAACTTTGAAAGCATTAGGTTAAGAAAGAAGCCAAACACAAAGTATGGTTCCACTTACATGAAATACCCACAATAGGTAAATCCATAGAGACCAATTAGTAAATTAGTGATTGCTAAGGTCTAGGGG